AGCAGCGTGTTCTGTGCGTCGTGATGATCCCGCGCTCTTAATATTCGTTGGCAATTGCGAATGATGCAAGAGAGTGTGATGTGGCTTTGCGCAAACCTTACATTTAAACGTTGATGTACAATTAACCACATGATGGCGTGGCGATAAGCAGTTTATGCAGAGTTTTAGGCTCTTCACCTTTTCAAACCTTTGAACCACCTCCAGTGCCTTAAAACGATGACAATTCTGTATTAGGTGTTCATTGCTAGAACAAAATGAGCAAGAATTGCTAGATGTAGATGCAACAAATGCGTATTGTTTTGAGCGTCTGTTAGTCTTGGAGTTAAGACTATTAGGTTTACGTTGTGATGATGACTGATTGCCGTTTCCACTGTCAAGTGATTCGAGAAACTGGCAATGTCTATCCAACAATTTTGAGCAATCTTCCCAACTGGGTAATGTGTCAAAGTTACGCGATTCATTCCATTTCCTACGTGTAATTGCGTCCGTTTTTTGCATGATTAACGAGATAAGTAGAGCCTCACATATTTGTTTCTCTGTACCTAGCGAACAGAGTGAACCATACAAAGCGGATGCATTGTTTACCAGACTACGGAGTTGTTGGCTTGACTGACCCGATACTGCTGGTAGATCAAATAGTGTCGCGATATTTTCGGCGAAGATTAGGCTATTATTGTCATAGCGCGATTTAAGCCTATCCAGAGCCTTTGGATAGTTTTCATTCGAAATAGGAAATGCCTGTACTGTCTCTAGAGCTTGACCAGTAAGGCAGTTCAGCAAGTGATTAAATTTTTCAATATTTGTGAGGTATATTTCGCGATCTATGATTTGGAGAAACGAATTAATAAAATTGTTATAATCCGAGTACTTACCACTGAATGTAGGTAATTTTAACAGTGGTAATTTTTTACTTGAGGTGGGCATCATTGCTGTTACGTCTAGCACTGATGCATTGTGGGCCTCTTCCTGCAGTTGAGACATGATTAATATTTTGGTGGAAACGTATAGGTCTTCTAATTCATCTCTAGCTGAGTCAGTTGCATCTAATTTCTCGATCAACGTCTGAAAAGCTAAGATTTGTTTAAAATATGATTCTAAAATACCTAGTCGACATTTCAGTTCTGGTTGTGAGAGCGAATTACTCTTTCCTTTGACGAACGTCTTGATCCTTGAAATGCTCGCTTTCGTCGAGGCTCGCTGTTGTTTTAGTTCTGACAGTTCTGCCGTAGTGGTTGGCTCTGCCGTTGCCATTGAAACAGTTGTAGATACTTGAGAACAACAAGGGATTTGACGAAGTCGAAAAGTCACAATAGCAGCAGCGAACTTTCCGAAATTGAACTGCTCTTACGGTGGTTGTTGTCAGACGCGACGTTGACGAATCCGCCCACTTACTGATTGGAAGCAACTATTAACCAGTAATCAACAAGTTAACTTGTTGTTGTTGTTGTAATTGTTCAGCGTGACCTTGATGCGGACACGAGGTTCTATTTGGCGCTTAGCAGAACCTAAGCCGAAAACCATAGAATGCACAATAGTACACACGTACGATAGTATATAGTATATATGTACAGATGTACGATATTATTAAAGTTAGCACACTTTAGATATATAACCGTTTAGGAGCAATACTCACACGAGCACATTATGGTTACAAATTAACCCAAAAACAATAAAAGCGAAAGTATGTACAATCAACAAGTAAAGGTATCTTGTTGTTGTTATTTTAAATGTCGAGCACGACCTTGATGCGGACACGAGGTTCTGATTTGAGGTTAGCGGACCTAAACCGAGAACCACCAATTGCACAAGAGTATATACGTACGATAGTACATAGGTAATATATATATAGATGTACGATATATTATAATGGTTAGCACACGTTAGCTATATAGCTGGTTAGAAAAAGTATTCACACGCGCACATTATGGTTACAAATTAACCAAAAACAATAAAAGCGAAAGTATATACAATCAACAAGTAAAGGTATCTTGTTGTTGTTATTTTAAATGTCGAGCACGACCTTGATGCGGACACGAGGTTCTGATTTGAGGTTAGCGGACCTAAACCGAGAACCACCAATTGCACAATAGTATATACGTTCGACAGTCCACAGAATAGCTATCTGGAAGAAATGTACACACGCGTACACTAATGATTACAAACTTAATAAAAAAAAATGATTACCACACGTGGGTAATATTTAGATTTTTTAACAAATTGGAGATTAATAACCACTATTAAAATTGCAAAAAGTCCTGTCACGGTCGCCAATGTAAATTATAAGCGTTTTTATAATTGGGTTTTATGATCTTTATTTCAATTTCTTTAACACAATGTAAATTATAAACGTTTTTAGAATTGGGTTTTGGTTTCATTTAATTTATACAATTGAATTTATACAATTTCGGTTATTGATTGTTTAATCACTTTTTTATGTGTACCCGTGTGTTGACACGTTCGCGATCGAAAAACAAGAGACAGAATCAAACCAACGGAGTTTACTTGCAGCCCAAAAAATATAACAAAAAAATTGCTCATCTCGAGCGCAAAAACAAAAGGCAATAAAAACAAGACTTAGAACCGTTGGTTTGATTACATCTTATACAGGGTTAGTTAGATAAATTAATTAACCATATATATTAACCATATAAAATATTATATATGAATTATATAATATATTAATTATAATAATTTAATTATACAATATATGATTTAAAATAAATTAAAATATAATAAAATATAATATATAAATCATATAACACATCAATTATAATAATTCTACAGAATCCTACAATATTAACAATTTGACTTTAACCGCTCTAACACAATTTATTTAAATTACTGATTCCACTGTAATGACTTTTTGTACAAAATTCAACTATCTACAGATTTTTCACGAATAATAAGACGAAATTAGGTTATTTTGAAGAATGAGTCCAAAGGTACACTTAGGTCTATTGAGTCATTGTGTTCTGCAGCTAACAATTATTTGTATTATATTCTATACTGATTGCTTAATTAACAAACTTCCTAAAGGTCAAAGGTCGAAATGTATACAGTTGCTTATTAATTTTTAGTAAATATTGGTCATATCATAAAATATTTTGAATATTTTTACTATAGCTTCCTTTGTTTACATTTTTTACTCAAGATAGTAATCAGCTGCTAGCAACATTTTATAACTACATATCGATAGTGCAGGCACAAGTTGGTGTAGATTTAAATTAATTATATCTAATTTGTGAATGGACAAGGATATAATATTATGTACGTATTAGTTTAGAAAAAATTTAGTTTCTTATTTTGATATCTTCGATGCAGCTAGCTTAATTAAAATTCGACGTTAGCTTTTCTTTAGCAATTTTACGGACTTGCCAATAACTTTTGAACTGTACGTTGTTTTTTTACAGTGCCATTTTAATGGGCTGTTGAATTAATTCAAGATGGTACGCCATCTATTAAAAAAGTTAGTACAAAATTTTTGAATAATTAATATAATTAAACTAATTTGTGTTTTTTTTTAAATAATTGCGATTATTAGAATATTATTTTTTCCATATTAACTGTTTTCTGACGTCTGGTGTATATTTTTTTATAGAAAAACCGTGTTTTTTAAAAGAAAATTAATTTCTGAAGGTTGAGACTTTATAATTCGAAAATTACTCAAACAAGTTATAAATATGAATACATAAATATAAGTTTGAAGTCTCCTCTTTCAATTAAGGTAATATGCTTAATTGAATGGCATCTTTGCTTTTAAAGTTATAATTAATTTTGTAATGTAACAATTTTTTACATAATTTTATTATCCCTGTTTTGAAGAACATTTGTTCTATATTATGTACACTCCAATTATATTCAGAATAATAAAAATACTTTTTACAGTTATATGCTTTTTATTTCATAATTTTTTATATTAATTAGTATTTGAAAAGGACATCTCTTATTTCATCGCAGCATTGATCCTAAGTTAATCAAACAACTTCTACATAATTTTACGCTATATGAAAGATAATTTTATCCTCTTTCAAATGAACTACAAAAGATAAAAATGACATCTCTAGTTAAGAATTTATTAATAAATTAGTGCCCCCATCTTTTACTGCTAACTTTTATTTTTCATACAAATTATATATTCTACACATAAAAGTTGTATGGAAATAGTAAATTAAATCAATTTTCTACATATAAATGCTTTTTGCCGCATTAATTTTAATAAAATAATAAATTTTTCTTTAATTAAAGAATCCTGTATTTTTCATGCGGCAAAAAATGTTCCAATTCATTTTGGACTTGTCGTCGACACTGTCTCAATGCATAATGATATTTTTATTATTTCACAATTAAGTGCCAGATTAATGATTAATTAATTAATCAGATTAATTAGTGTATCTTATACTACGTTTATACTGGCTTCAAATGTTTCATTTTCAATGAGTCATTATGAACTGTTTACATTGGCCATTCTTATTCATAAACAGTTTTTCTTTATTCACTGTTTATTTAATTATACCACAAGTATTAAAAAACAATTTGTTAAGTAAATTTCAAGAATAAGCTTTTTTAACTTGTCAAAATATCAAGATAAACTTTTATAAAACTCTAACTATTAACTATGAGTAACTATTCATTACAATTTACGACATATTCGTAGGAAATATGAAGTAAATGTGAATGAGATTTTATATGGCGATATACGAATATATCTTTCTTTTTGCGGAAATATTATTGTTTTGTTTTAGATTAAATTATTTTATTATTATTAACAAAGAGCACAAATTGATTATTTTTTTTGAATATTAAAAATTATTTGAAATTTTGAATTCAATGGATTATTACTATACATATATATATATAAAATATTATTTCATTAAATTTTAAATATTTGTACAAAGATCAAATAATTAATATACAATGTATATATATATTTACAATCAACATTTGTTGATAGCAAAATTGTGTAAATTTATTTTGCCAAAAAAATAAAAATACAATTAAGCAGAACGAGTAACCAGAATATGTTTTTCACTAGAAACGGGTAGTCGAGTGAAACAGTTACTTGTTATTTGAATTTTTTGATGCACTGGCAGCACTAATTGCTGTGGCATTGACATTTTATATTTTGCATTTGCGATTTGATTTTGTTTACTTATTTTTGCCGACAATATTAAATTGTAACTAAAATTTCTTAACATTTTGAAGATTTTAATATTATTCAAGAGAATTATTTTATTATGTAGGAAACAGATAAATGGAAGACGATAACGATGACGGTTCACGCCAACGTCAAGCACTTGATATTACTGAGCCTGGGCCAGATTTTGATCCAAACGCCACACCGGAAAATGGTGACGAATATTTAACGCATATGTTGTATGAGAGGCAAAGATGCCCAAAAATTGTGAAGGCACATAAGAAAAAATTTAATGTGGAGAATAAAGATCCGGAAAGAGACGCTTTGCGATATATGAAAAACATTCAGGTAATTGTTGAATTTTTCGAATGTACAAATCTGATTATAATATATGTATATAATCTGCTTGCAGAACTTACAAGAATCCACAATGCCAACTTTAGATTTTTTACCAAATGAACATTGGAAAAGAAGTCAGGAACAAACGTTCTTAGTTACGCGTTGTAAAACTTTAATAGAACGTGAAAAATTCGAAATTAGTGAAGCGATATTAGCTGATTTACCAGACATAAGAGATGCTGTCGCATGGAAAAAATTTTGCATTGAGAAAAAACCGTTATTAAGTTTAATGTTCACTTTAGGCCAGCGCAGGTTAGAGGTTCTGCTTAATCATATTAAAGAGTGGCTAAATAAGGGCACGGAAGACAGTGATAGTGAAGAAACTTGTGACTGTGACAGCAACAAAGACTTAGAAGCGACAGTTGAAAATGCTGATTTATCCCGTAAAACTGAAAATAACTCAGAACACTTAAGAGATGAGGAAGAAGGTGCTGAATCAATAGATGAGATAAAATGCACAACCGGTGTACCTCAAATTGACTTGAGTGGTAGTCAGAGTTGGTTAGGATTATGGCTTTATGCCGTACTAGTTTGCTTAGAAATTCCTTTAGAAGGGCATGTCATTGGCACTTTAAGGGAAATTGCAAGATCATGTATACGACTACGATGCAACATTGCGCCATCATGCTTGGAGAAAGTGACTCCTTGCAATTTGTTTATATTTTTAATTGCAAAAGTTTTTGCGCAATTTGATTTAATCGGTTTCGTTTAAGAAAAAGCGCTATTATATATTTTTTAAAATAAACTTTATATTGTAAAATAAACCATTATTAATAAATTGAGGAAAAATTAAATTGAATTTAAGAAAATATTCTTTTGTACGTTTGGCAAATTCCGCATTGTTTAGCGTGATCCTCATAGTTTTCATATGTCAAGCTGGTCTCATGGTCCACGCATTCACTGCTATTGCAACCTGAACTTGCATTCGTGCTATACGAATTGTTGCTGAAACTGAAAGAAGATCATGGTCTTATCTACCAAGACTGTAATTTTTGAAAATGCAAGCATTACCTGGAACATGTGGAAAGCCGTCGATGTTCGCTTTTAAAAGAATTTGTGTCGCTTCTATCCACATTAGTATTATTTGAGCATGGTGGACTGGAGCTGACTTGCGATGATCTATATGCATATAACAAATATAGAAGTGCAGATGAAGTTATTCTAAGATTTATACCTCCGACTGCCGCACATGCATTTCGCATGACAAACTGTTCGTTGCCTGCGCGGCTCCTCTAGGTAATCGAAGCAACAACTTCCATTCGGCGATTGTAGGCTGTGTCTGTTATGTGGTCTTTCCATATTTGCGTTGAGAATCGGTGTAACGAAATCGTTTTGACAATTATGTCGTTGGTTTTTGTAGGCGCTGTTCACAGCAGTTCTTTCTTGTACACGTATCTAGGCAGATATTTCGATTTTGGGTGAGATTATACCCTGAAACAACAACATATCAGATAAAGTGTAGATTCTTTTAATTAGAAGAAATTATAGTATATACTGGAAATGCTTTTGTTGTTTTTGTCAGTAAATTGACATCAATCTTATGTTTACAGATGAGTCTTGGTATTCCGGGACGCATAAAATCGGATAAATTGCCGTGGTAATACGCTAAGCGTCGCCCATTCTGCCAAAGCGTAAATTTTGTTTCTTCCGCTGCTAATACGCGTTCCAAGTCTTCCATTGAATTAACAGTATTAAAATATCCTTGCATTATAAACTTGTCGTGACACAGTAAAGGAAATCGTGGTTCCATAGCACCAGTACGGAAGTAGTACCCTAGTGTTTTGATTGTTACTTCTATATAACCATGAGTGCACAACCAAACCCCAGGGCAGGTGACCTAAAATTGATAGATATTTATTTTTAATATATAATGAGATGTGATTGCTTGATATGACATGCTATATTTTAAACTATTTATATATATAGAGATAGATATGTATATTATATATAAGGTCTTTGCTAGCACCGTCAATACACATCAAAAACGCAGTGCAGCACAAAGTTCTCCTAAAGTATGACACACCTTTTTATATCGTCATGTTTTTAAAAGTAAGCGCTTCGCTCTCGTAGTGCTGGATACACATTCAAAGCGCTTTAAATCAGCATTTTTATTGCATTTTTGAATGTATTTGCGTCGACAACTAATTTGAAGTCAATTTAAAGCACAAATTTATTTTCTTTAAAAGTTTTTTCAAAGTGAGAGGATGTTAATTGTCCTCTTCGTATAGGCCGCCCTAATATGCCACCCAATATTGACTGTGGTATTAAGTCTGCTTTACTTAATCACAACTTTATTACTTTCATCTCTACAAGAGAATATTGGGTTAGAAAGAATATGATTTCCAATAAGTGTTTGAAACTCAAAGTTAAAAATAAGGTAGTTGGCGGAGTATTCCCTGATGAACTCAAGTAAGCGCTACTTCATCACAATAAAATATTTGTCAAGAATATTAACATGTACATATTGTGTAAATTTTTTTGTCATCCTGTCCATATGGCACAACATTCAAATTTGTATCATATATTTTTGAAGTAAATATCCAGAGCACAGAGAGATTCCTGGCAGGTGTAGGACTGTTAAATTGGTTAGCAATGGCGCACCGTTTCTCTTAATACCAATTCCAATTGATATAAACATCTTCTAATCTTAGGTAAAGTGACTGAACGCACTGTTCTCAATTTAGAAGAACAGAGAAGGTTCGCAGAACACATGGTATACCATATCTATGATATTAATTATTGACAATAAGAAAAAACCAGAGCTACCGTTTGGTCTTGCTCTTCCTATACTATACATTATAATTGCAGCTCAGACAGGCATGCTAGTCGGTGAGGGGTCAAAGACCGTTATCACAACTGAAGTTTAAAGGAGGCTCATATGCTCTGTTACTGCCTAGGACTTGCAAGGTGCTTATCCACTATAGAGTTTCCCTTCATACGATATCGCAAACATATGCATTACGAATATTACCTGTTTTATCAAAATGACTGACTGGTTTCTTTAACGAAAATAGGATCACTTTAGAACAATCAGCGTGTTCTAAAAATTTATGATATCAAAATCAGCTAACTTAAGAAACTCAATGAGCGTCTTCTTGTTATCTCGGATGCAAACGACGTCTATCATAGTCGGTAAAGATTGTCTGTTAGAAATCAACAATGACTTTTTGCAAGGAAGTTAATATTATTAATTTCAGCGTTATCTAAGGTAATGAATTTCTTAGCTCTAAATGGGCTAATATGGACTTAAGGTTGGTACAAGTGGCATAATTTTTTCAAGTTAATTTTTTCAACCTCTAGAATTTAAAGGTATTGATTGAAACCTAAGGAAAAAGTGATATGTGATATGGCGTGTCTGTTGATTTTTTGTATATCTATGGCAGTCACTGTTTCCTAGGATCTGTGGTTAGTCACAGATAACATGCAGATATAACATGTACCGATCTCGTGTATTGAAGCAAAGCAGAAAAAATTAGTCTATGATTTAATATATGTAGAGTATTATTTTTTGGAATAAGGTTAACTGGTTCCTTAATAGTAAACATTTTGAGTTGAAAGCTGCTGGATGAACTGATAAGGTGAAAGGCTTTACGGGTCTTTCAACTAAATAGATTCTTGCACTCTATTCACTCTATTTCACTCTTTTTAGAATCTTTCTTCTCATTCTATTTAATATCTTAAGAGTTTTCACTTCTAAGTACATTCAGACGTTCAACATAATGACAAGTTTGATATATTTATTGTCTTTATAGTTATTAATTTTTAACATGCTTTATTTTAGGAGTTAGGTTTTCTGCAGATAATATCAAGTTCGTTATTTCAATTATATTAATTCGATTTTAACAATTTGTATTTTTAAATTTTACTCTAAATTAATTAACTATTTTTATTTCAACTCAACTTTTATTTTTTTTTATTTATATTTTAATTTAATGAAGAGATTTTTCGAACAGTAATGAACTAATTAATTTTATATTATTTTTAATTAATTGAATTTTTGGCTGACCATACAGCTGTTTCAACTATTGCCAAATACCCATAATCAGTGGTCTTGGAAATATATTTGGAAATATATTTTGTATTTAATTATTCGTAAATAATTTTTTTTAAACCTGCAAATACCAGGGATCGAACTCGTGCCCTGTCAAATTTGAAGCTCAGAGTCAGCGCTTTTTAATCAACTGACCCAAAGCGGTACTTGACTGTTATGTTCACACAGTTTTCTGGAGTTTTGTTAATTTGCTATTTATATAATTTATAATTTATATAATTTATAAATTATATAAATGATCTATTTTAGTATTACTAAGTTTCAAGTTATATCTGGAACCCTTTCGTAGAATAATTTTCTTCAATACTCACGGCGTGTAAGTCCAAAATTACTTTCACATAATATTTTTTACGTGACATTTTACTTAAATTATTTATTTAATTTTTTTAACAAATATGATGAACTTGTATATTAATTTTATAAATTTCTAATTATATATAATAATGAATTAAAAATATGAACAGAATTTTTATTTCAACTACGAACTTTCACTTGACAGTAAGAAATAAAAGTGAAAATAGTTGCCTATGAGCCATCGCCCATAGTTCCTCAGAAAGGTAGAGAAGCTGTGTGTTGGGGGATAGCATAAACTGCATTGTTATTGTTACTATTGTTGTGCCGGCTGAAATTTGGTGTTGTGTTTACGTCGGTCTCCAACAGACCGTTGCTAAAGGGGAACACCAGTTTGACGTGTGCGCGCTAATTTGGATACCAACGAGCCCCAAACAAACACGAAGTTTACTTGAGAAATGTAATATTATTTGTTTTTATGCTTTGCGAGGGAAAATTTGCCGTAGCCCCACATACCTTCACTTTTCGTAAATGTGTACCCCTACTTAAATAACGACTTCAAATTTAGAATTGTGGTATATTTTGTAGTATTTTTATGCAAATAAATATGAAATTATATGGAGATATTGATTTTTTTTCAATTTATCCAATAGGTGTATAACATAAGCACATGAAAAAATTAAAAAACCTAATAGTAACGTAATCAGTAATATGATAAATCAAGCTAATCGACCTATTCAGTATTGAGGAATTTTAATACACCAATAAATTAGAATTTTAAAATTTAGAGAACAATTTCTAAATCTCTCTATGACAAAACAATTTTTTTTTAATTTGTTCTGTATGAATATGAGCACTGTATATATATTTAATATTATTTTTTATACCTATACCAAAAAAAAAATTAATTTTTTAATATTATAACAAATTACTTCAATTATCAGAGATATATATGTATATATCCAATCAGGTATAGGATTCATATAAGATCTGTCATGTTTATATTTTTTTGATATTCATTCGTACAGTTCTCGGCTAACGACACATAATTGAAACTGGAATTATAATGAATATGGTAGTCGGACCCAAGGTAGTCACGTGTAATTGAAAATTCTATCTAACGAAATTAGAAACACTTTTATTGTTTTCATCTATCAATGGGTTTTTATTTAAGTGAATAAAGAATTACCTGGTCCTTCCACAAAAGATGCGGTCGTCCTCTATCGCGTTTTCCACCTGGGGGTACCAAATCAAACACCTTTCTAGCCGGAGCATTTTCTTCCATTCGCACGACATGACCAAGCCAGCGAAGCCGCTGAATTTTTATGCGCTTAACTATGTCAATGTCTCGTTATAGCTCATACAGCTCATCGTTCCATCTAATTCGATACTTGTCGCCAACGCGTAAGGGAGAATAGATCCTCTGAAGAATTTTTCTCTCGAATGTTGCAAACGCCTTCTCATTACTGTTGGTAATGTCCAAGCTTCTGCACTATACAGCAGGACGGGCATGATAAGTTATTTCTAGAGCGTGATTTTTGTTTGTGGACAGAGGGCTTTATTTCTCAAGCTAGTCAAAAAAATAGTGGTAAAATAGGACTCTTCTGGCTGCAGTGCCGGCTGTTGGGCGATTTCACATCAATAATTTTAATAATAATAAAAATAAAGCTAGTCAAAATAATTCTTTTTGCGAGTATTCTTTTATGACACCAAGCTGAAAAAATAACTTTTTTGAAACTATCATTTTAAGTTTGGAAACAAAAAAAAATTCAAACGAACCCGTGTCAGATCAAGTCAGGTATATTCGTTAATTTTTTCCAAAAAATTCTTGCGCAACGGTGGCTTTGTGCCATAGCAGAACATTCAAAAGTATAATTGCAAAAATAACTAAAGGTAACACACTGGGTAATAGATCCCAAATGAAGAGCTTATAAAAATAATTTCATTCACGTAGATGGGTTTTAAACATATCATTTCTACGTAGTAGAAGACTTAGTATAATACGATAGATAGCTATGTGATAAGATTTGTAATACTTATTTACCATATAGGTAAATTAAAAACACTTTAACCCAAATATAAGGTGAAAGAATTTGCAATAGATTCTTTCACCGATAGCCGTTCTATTTGTAAAAGAATGAATTATTGTTCCTTTTTAGTTATATCGAAAAATTCTATAATAAAAATTTAAACACTTTTAATTTTTTTAACTATTTTGATTAGAGTATAAGTTCTTTTTCCGAAGAAATTTTCGCCATTTTATTAAATTAAAATATTTATTTTTTTAAAAATTTAATACTATATAAGTTAATTTTTGATTGTTCTTTAAAATTTTATAAATATAACTTATCGAATTATTAATAATTTGGGTAGAACTCTGCGTTGTCCTTATTAAGAGAAACGTACAATTCATATAGTTTATCCAAGACATCATAATACTTAGTCATAATTTGCTCTCTTTCTGACATTGTATATGGTTCAGTGAGAATCGTAGCTCCTTCAGTATAGTCCACTGTTTCTGGAACATTTGGAAAACCCGAAGCCAGGAAAACAATAAAGACTAGAACTAAAAGACAAACTGTTAGAGAATTCAATTGTTTTAAGGATTTTTACAAAACACATTTTACCAAAACTGAAAAGGATTAGTTTCCGTGCAGCCATTTTATACACAAAATATATATATAATTATAATGAATATTATAATTTATTTTTGTAAATGGATAATTTGAGTTTTACAATAAACGAATAAAATAATAATAAAATTTTTAATAATTACCAGCATTTTATACAATTCTCGATTTTAAAGATTGGGAGCAATGAAATCCAAAAGTGACATTATCTTTGCGATACAATTTATAATTCTTACATTCAATTTATTTAACTCAATTGAACTTTTACCAGCTTCTAGATACATTGAACCTAATATTTTCTTGGATAAGAATAAGAACATCAATGATTACACATTAATTGGTAATATATTATATAAAAAGGTAATTTTGAAGTTTAATATTTACCAACAAATGTATAAATATATTAATTACAACAAATAAAGATAAAGCAAAAATTGTAAAATGTGACAGAGATAATTGAAATATATCACAAGTATTATGAACCGATTTATTGGTCGTTGCTAAATATATGTAAACGATACAAACAGTCATCCAACTTCAAGGCAAGCAGTAACAACCGTGAACTCCTAACTGAACAGTAGTCCTAGGAACTTCAAATATCTGGAGACGTTAGTAAACGTTAATTTTGATTAGCACTTCTGAAATGTTAAACTTTAGTTCGGAGAACTATTTTCCTATATATCATATACGCATGTGTAAAATCTATGCAGCCTGTGGACTTCCATTAGATATAAAACCATATAAAAATGTTCGCAATATAACTAGTTATGGAAATCAATATTATAAATATAGTCAAATTTCATTAAGACCACAGTAATACCATAGGCTCAAGAAAGAACTAAAACTGAATTCTGAATTCTTATGTGTAATCCACAAAGTTGAAATTAAAACTACTAAAGCAACATATGGTAAGGCGACTTACAATGTTTTAGCTACAACTTCATGGATGTGAGAAAGCTATAATATACCAATTCCTATGTAGAGTAATTAATAAAGGATGTATTTCTTCTCACTGAAGAGACAGACAAACTTTCAGTCCCTTAAAACGAAGTATTGCTTTACTTCCATCTGTTTGTGATATTGCACAAACATTGTATTTACATCTGTCTATTATCAACAAAATTGAACATCACTACTACCAGTTAGAAAAGGCGAGTAAAATCTTTAACATCTTTAGTAAAAATTTAAGATTCTCCATTAAAATATTTTTATAACAGAGATTAAAGGTTGAAAACTCTAATACTTCCTTTCACGTATACGTGGATTATATTTTAAAATAACACCCTAGTCAAGAGACAGTAATGTTAATTTAACAATTGACAATTTAACAATTGACATTACTGTCTCTTACAACAATTTGATTCAAAATTCTTCTTTCTAATCACTTGGGTATTTAGATTGACACCCATAAGCCATTGTATAGATTCTAGAACGCTTAGATTATTTGGACACAACTTAGCTTAAAACACACATTTACAACTTACGAAAAATATTTTTTAAAAAAAAATAGTTTAAAAACATAATTAATTAAATAATAATAAATAATTTGTTAATAAAAATTCTTGGGTCTAGATCGCAGACGTCATTCATTTGAATGAAAGCTCTAGGAAGGAACTGAACATTACATTCATGAGTAGTTGAAAATTTAATCTCCATTTCACTTTCGCTTTTAAGTTTTGATTTAGCAGAGAAGTTACCTTCTTGAAGACCCCACATCTCTGTATGTTCACCGGGTTATATGCGGCTAGAAGCGGGTATCGGGCTTGTAACGATCGGTTCACTATATAAACGTGTCAGAAATGGTCATTGAACTCATCAAACATCGACCGTTTTCTTAATTTCTTATGACGCCTGAGCATGGATTCAAATACTGGAGGAAATCTGTCTACATAGGGTAATCGAGTAGACTTCGAAAATTCCCTGCGCAAGCTACAGCTGGCAGAATGGATATGGAGATGTCAAATTCATGCCGAAATATCAACACGATGAACGAAACCTTAACAATAGATCAAAACAACATTAATTATTCGAGAAGAACCGTGATCGGAATGAAGTGGCTGATGTTAATTGTGTTCTGGAATGTACGGACTTTATATGAAAGTGGTAAACTTGCTGAACTTCGAAATGAGATGTCTAAATACAAAATTTTTGTCATCCAGGAGGCTAGAGCGAATGGCAGCGAAGTGATACGTGACCATAACACAGAATTTATCTACTCAGATAGAGCAGAAAAAGAAAAACATGGCAAATCTTGTGTTTAAGGAAATATCTAAAAGTCTCATTGAATGGCAACTTAAAATCAGAGCCCGCAAGCTTATTCTGATAAACTGTTACGCCCCTACAGAGCCTCAACCAAACCATAAAAAAGATGAATTTTATGAACAAGTCAACAGCTGCATACCATCGCTCATGCAACGAAGAAGTTGGGCGATATATTG